AAAGATTAGAAAGCTTATATTATAAAAGTAATCTGGGATGAATTAGATAAAGCTTGTGAGTTATATTATATAATAATAAATAATCCTATTTAACTATATTATAGTATTATAAAAAGCGATATTAAAAAGTTTATAAAAAAGACTAATCGACCTATACTATTTATAACAGAGATTCAGAGTAAACTATTACTCTGGCTTTGTAATCTGTTTGTTAGATTCTTATTCTCCCTTATCAACAAGCTTCTATTACAATACTCTTGAAATTATAAGATCGAGATTATATTAAACAAAAAGCTCTTGTATAATAAAGGTTACTTAATATTCCTAATCGAGTTCTAAGTTGTTTATAAATAACTCGATAATAATCTAAATAAAGGATTCATCTATAAATCCCATTTTTAATTAATTGCCCCATTTCTTTTAGTTATAAAGCCTGGGGGGGGTGTTTGAATTTACCAGGATTATTGTGGACTAAATAATATTATTATTAAGAATTGTTATTTATTACCACTAATTAAAGAAACTCTTGATACTTTATACTATACTAAAGTTTATATCAAATTGGATATTATTGTCATATTCAATAAATTATAGATTGCGGAAAATTATAAATGAAAAACTACTTTTACAATTCGTTTTGGCTTATTCGAATTCCTGATAATGCTTTTTAGTCTTTGCAATACTCCTGTCTTGTTTCAGAACTATATCAATTATATTCTTTTTGATTTTCTGGATAAGAATTATATAGTATACCTAAATAATATCTTGATCTACTCTGAGAATATTATAGATTATTGAAAGCAAGTTTGCAAAGTTGTATAGAGATTTATTGATGTTAAATTACAAATTGATATTAACAAATACAAGTTCAAAATAAGGAAAACAAAATATCTCGACCTAATCATTACTCTTAGTAATATCGAGATGAATCCTAATAAGGTTAAAACTATTCTTGAATAAAAGTTGTTAATTAAACTAAAAGATCTTTAATATTTTCTAGGGTTTATTAATTTCTATTAATGCTTTATTTATAACTTTTCTAAAATCACAAAATCTTTAAATTGTTTATTAAAAAAAGAGAATATATGGAATTGGATTGCTGATTAAAAGAATGCCTTTGAAAATCTGAAGTATACTTTTACCTTCACTTCAATTCTTGTAATATTTAATTACTATTACTATATAGTTATTGAAACAGATACTTTCGATTAGACTGTGAGCAGAGTATTCTCTTAATATAATGATAAGGGCCGATTATGCCTGGTTATATACTTTTTCTTAAAATATAATATTACTGAATATAATTACAAAATCTATAATAAGGAACTATTAGTTATCATTAAGTTTTTAGAAAAATGAAGATTCGAATTATATAAAACTCAAAAATTGTTCAAAATTATTATTGATTATAAGAATCTAGAATACTTTATATCAACAAAGATATTAAATCAAAAACAAACTAGATAAACTGAATTCCTAATTAGTTTCAATTTTTATATTATATATAGACCGGGTCTTAAAGCAATTCGCCCCAATATATTAAATAGAAAAGTAGAAGATCACTTTGTATATATCAATCCTAATAATAATCGAATCAAAAATCACTTATAAATAGTTCTCTCAAAAAGAGTATTCGATATTATTATATTCAAGAACCTTATTTAATAAACAAATAATAATATCAATCTTATTGCGGCGTCTATAGGTATAATCATCCCCGATATTGAGAAGCCGATTAATAATTTTATTAATAAAGTATACGAATTATCCAAATTAGTTATTATTATATATAAAATACTTTAAAATCCAATTACTTACTATTGGCCACTATCAATCCGAAAAGATCTCCAAATCGCTTTTCAAAATTATAGATTAATTAATAATAAAATTTTCTATTATAATTATTTCTTTATTCCTTTCTTTACTGAGCTTTGTATTCAGATTATATACTGAATATACTTTATTGATTTGATAGGATATTCTGGTTGAATTAAAACTATTAATTTTATCTTTTGTATATACTAGTGGTCCAATATATTAAGAGAAATCGAAATTTATGTATAAACCTGTCAACTCTGCTTCCAAACCAAAACCTTTCATCTTACTACATCCGGATTCCTAAAACCTCTGTTAGTACCATTCTGCCCCTAGTCTGATATCTCTATTGATTATATTATACCACTATCAATTAACAAACACTATAGCAAAAAGCATTAATATATTGTTACAGTTATCTGCTGCCTAATGAAAATGCATTATTTCATTCTGGTTATAGGACTATCCGTAAAGGAGCTTGCCAATTGATTCGTTAAAAAAATCTACTATCTATATGGTGTACCTGATAATATAATATTCAATAAAAATTCACAATTTATATTAGAATTCTAAAAGCATTTATTCAAGTCTTTATCAATCACTTTAAAACAATCCTTCTCATTCTATCTCGAGTTCGATAAACAAATAGAAAGAATTAATATTATGGTAAAACAATATCTTTGGGTTTTTATAAACTTCTATTAAGATAACTGATATAATTAATTCCTACTCACAAAATTTACATTTAATAATATCACTTTAAAGACTATCGGTATATCTCCATTTTTCATTAACTACAGTTTTCACTTATACCTCGGCATTGAGTTCTCTTTATTTGTTCCCCTAAATCTATTATATCAATACAAATACGAGTTTCTAAAGGTCAATGAGATTACAAATCGATTTGATATTATTCTAATAAAATTGAAAGCTCTAGCCGCTTAATCTATTCAGAGATATAAAGATTATGTTAATAAGATTTATATCGATATTCCTTTATATAAAAAAAATAATAAAGTATAGATTAGTATTAAGAATATAAAAATCAATTATCTGATAAAGAAAGGTGATAATAAATAAAATAGTCTCTATAAAATTCTAAAAGTTTATAAACAAGTCTATCTATTCCAATTCCCTATTAATTTTAAGATCTTTTCAATATTCTACAACTTATTATTCTAATCACTTTATTACTTATTTAAACTAACTAATCAAAAAGCAATCAACAAAGCTGAATTCCGCCAAAACCAAGGTTGTATTCTAAAAAGAAATAACGAAATGAACGAGAAAATCAAGTGATAGAAATTTGATAAATTATTTGATTGTTATAACAAGAATGGATTTTACTATCAAGTTAAATAAAAATATTACTCAGTATCTTGGTAATCTGCTGAAAATCTTTGTGGTCAAGAAGATACAATTATCGTTTTTTATTTAGCAAATCCAGATAAGCCAAAATTACTTGTTTGGGTAGACTTCAAAAGATTTATTATTTCTGATTCCTTGTTAGTATTTACATCAAGTGTATTCCCGAATCGAGGCTGAGGTAGATCTAAAAAGCTCTGGTAATTGATTATTATTTTTAAGAAAGTTCATTTTAATTTAATAATAGAAATTAGAGTATTTTAATATTATTTTGTTTTCTAAAAGGTCAATTGGTATTACGATTATGGATTGATTACCTTGAGCGGGGGTATTGTTATAGCGCCAACTATATAATCTATAGTTGCCTTTGTGCCTTAGGCATAGTATATTAGTACACTCTACTTCCTATAAGTAGGGCTTCACTCTTTCATAGCTCTTCTACCCTTATGGTACAATATAAGTCTTTACCCGTACCTTGACAATATATTTATAAGCATCTTTATATATTATAAGATTTTATAGAATATTGAGAGTTTGAAATCAAAATTATTATCGTCCCTACTATATTTCTTTTTATTGGTATAGAATTTCGATAAACTGATAAGAAATTGTATATTAAAATATATTGATAGTTTTTTATTCCTATTATATTAATCTTTATTATTCTTTTTATTATTATTATTATTGTTGTTATTATTAGGATTTCCTTTTTTGTTATTTTTCTTATTATCTTTTCAATTATTTTTATTATATTCAAAATTGTTATTAATAAATCTATTAATTGTTTCGAATCTAAATTTAGATTCTTTAAAATTACAATCTTTTAGAACTTCCTGAATTTGGTTTTTTGTTCATATATTTGTAATAGATTTATGTGATTGGTTATATAAAGTTATAGATATTTCAATACCTAATTTCGGTATTTATACTCCTTGGGTATATAATACTATTTGTAGTTTTTGTGTATTCAATTAATGGATCTTTATGAATTACTTATTTGTAAATATACTAAAGTTATTATAAAAGATCTCGGTTAATTTATTGTTGTTGATATTCTTATAATTATATTGCTTGTATTTGAATTTGATGTATTTGGTGAACTCCTTAGAGTTAAAATCAACAATTCCATTATCAGTCTATTATTTCTTTAATAAGCTTAATTACTCTTCGCAATACTCCTTTTCCTTTTTTGTATATAATTCCTTGCTGATGATTTTAGAGATAATCGGAGTATTATTGCTGTCCGATATGATAGGGTGTGTATAGAGGTATTTCGAAGGTTATAGATATTTCGAAGATTATAAATAGATTATAGATATTTCAAAGGTTGTAAGTATATTATAGATATAAGAGGTATGAGAGGGTATATGAAAGGTATTTAGATAAAGGGTTTATTTTATATAATATATAGTATAAAGGTGAATATATAATGAATATAAAATCAATTTATTATATTTAATCAATCGATTCTTTTGAATATGTTTTCCTAATATAATTATTCAGAGTATATTCTTTAGTATAATAAAGAGAGAAAGTATATTGTATTTAGTACAATGATATTTTTCTTTATGGTTTCTTTAGAATTTCTATTAATCCTAAATACTACTTTTAAACACCTAGTGCTTTCTAATAGAATCTAAGGCCCTAATTTGTGATATCACTAATTAGTATTGATATCAATTTGGTGTTGATTAAAGTGTAAAGTACTTTAGTCTTATCAATATGATTGATTGTATTATTCGTCTTGATCATTATTAACTATAGGAAGCTAGTACTTGATATAGTAGAAGTGCAAGCGCTAGTACAATACGGTGCCCTCTTTAGATCACATGATCGATATCCCGACAACAATGATTCAATCCTTTCAAAGGTCCCCTAATATCTCGTTTCCAAATACATTTATGAACCTCCCAAATTGCCATAGGACGATTTGGATGACCTGGATATATTGACTCGAAGTTATGATGAAAGGCCAGTTCTTTGAGTCCCTTCTCTATCGCATCAATGTAACATATCGTTGAAGAAAGTTCTTGAATTCCACTCCTCTCATCCAAAGTATCATCGATGAGTTCTGAAACCTGTTCCGTAATGTCGACTAGCGTTTGCTGGAATTGGTGAACCGAGTTGGGTATCTCCACTTCACGCACGTTTTCACCGGCCGCAAATTCATTGTCTAGCCAATGAGTCATATAACCAATTGTATCATTACCATGTCCCTTTTCAGATTTGTCGTTTGAGCGCTGTATAAATGAAAGTATTTTTTGAATCTCTGAGCGAGGTACAAAGTCAGGTTTTGTTAGATTTCGGTCTGTCAAAACTTTGTAAATTCCAAACTCTACAGTGAATCGTAGCGCTCGACTGGCATCGTTGGCCGCTTCAAGTTCGGGCAAAAAAGATTGGCCTATCTCGATGACTTTGAGTAACCCCACAGATTTTCCGAGATACAAGTTTGATCGGGGCAACATGTATCCTTCTCTTAACCCTTTCAGATATTCAATGATCAATTTTCTGGTCAATTTTGATCTTATTGCTTGCTTGGACAGAGATCCCTAATAGGAGTCGCTTATCTATTGTCTGAAATTGGAGGTTCTGATGGGTCTAACATCAGAAATGAGTTCGGTCAAATCCTCTATCACTGCATTTGTGAATATCATTGCGTCCTCCGCGTGTCGGCGAATCAGATCATAATAGACCATATATTCATGATATATCTTGTCAGCGTCAGCCTGTACATCCTCAAACAATTTTGGGAATTGTCGCCCTTGCGGGTAGTCTGGCATCTCGTTAATGAACCTGTTGAAAGTTAAAAGCGAGTTGCCTGGAAATGTATCCAATCGTCCTCGAAATATGTCTCCTTCCTTTCTGGTAGCATTGCAGATGATATCCTTATACAATAATCGAATTGTAGATACATTGCTTGGGGTGATGAGTTTGACATTATAAGCACTTCTAATTTGTCTTCCGTGGCGGAGCCGTCCGTCCATATAGGGTATAACATATACCCAAGTCAAGAAGAAACTCAGCAGAAAGTATCCAAGGTACATCATTTGAGCTACTTGGAAGTCTGGAAGCCATGAGTCATGGGATTCAAGAGGAGCTTTATTTGTGTTTTCATCTGAGTAAGAATCAGATTTAGAGTCACTTGCACTTGCACTTGTGCTCGGGGTACGTTCCCTGCGTTCGATCAAGGACCCTCGAGGGTTTCTAGTGGACATTGAAGAAGTAGAGAAGCTTATGCCTTTTTGAGTAATATGTAGTAGAGTTGCCAATATCTGCGAGTTGATGATGGACTTGAATGAACCGTTGATAATGAGCAAGGATAATTTTGTGTATGTGATAGCGATCCGTTGGAGTCGAAAGGTTGATCGTTGTCGTGTTACTTTAGAAGCTTTTCTTTATGTGCGCAAAACTTTCTTTGAACTGTGGCAGATTATGGATGTTAGAACACCCTTTGTCAAAATTGACGAGAGTCCGAGAAACTTCGAAAAGCAGCTACTGTATATGGTGCGCTCGAGATAACCTATGTGACAAAGAGACAATGTAAAACAAAGAAACTTTATATCTTTTGGCAACTGTGTTGAAAAGATGTAACTTCCAGAATTATCGATCCTCGATCGTGAAAGGCTTAATGAATAAATAATATTTAGTTTGTGGTCAAATTATGTATCACGATCCATGATTATCATAGAGTCATGTAAAGCTAGGTTCTTGAAAATTTTGATAGAAGGAAATAAGAAGAGGGACATTTGAAGAAAGTCGGTTTTGTCCACAAAGAAGCCTCCTCATAACCTTTGGTAGGAACTAGTTCATGTGGTTATGTACTGTTATGCGAGGTCAAGTAACTGCATTTCAATTTTTTGAAATAATCTATTGCTGAAAAGTTTTCCACTGATAGTTTGAGTGTTGAATTTTAAACTATGCTTCACCATGAGGCAAGAACAGAGTAGTATAAGTCTTGGTGTGTTTGAAGTATTATAAATTCCGGGAAAACACTTGTTTGTAGCAGCGTTGATCGGCAAATGGATAATATTGAAACAATGGGAAGTAGAAGAGGATCACGACGTAGATAGAGCTGAATAATTCAATAAAAGTCCGGAAAGCACGATGTTTTTAATAACACATGTTAGATTGAGTGAGTTTCTAATCTCATTTGTGATAGATGATCAACCTGAAACTATTTTCAGATCAATCAAATGTCAATTCATGCGGCCAAAGTGCATTAACCAATTTTGAAAAGAGATTAGCTCTTAAAAAGATTTGTCCCACAATACTAGGTGTTGAAGCCGATCAAGTCCCTCGTCAACTTCTCCTCATCAAATCTCCATCTAGTCACGTCAATCTGTCCCTTCCAATCCGGCTTATCGCATAGCTCATGAAGAAGACTGTGATATCTGCCCAAATTCAAGTTGAATCCTAAGATACCTTCATTTTCTGCCATTAATTGGATATCAAATGCCAGTTCCTGGAACATAGCTCCATGTCTTCCCGTTCCCAGTTGCTCCAAAGATCCATGATTACAACAGCGTCCAACACAACTGTATATGTGAAAGAAAGCATGACACATCTCGTGAACTAATATGCCAAACAACTTTTTCAATTTTTCTCCATTGAGCGGCTCAATCTCTGGTCCAACAAAGATGGTGATCGTGCTCCTTGGTCGGAAGCGACATTCGATAACATCTTTTTTACCTCTTCTGTAAATGGCCTTCGATTCTTGAGACGTGTGGCCTTGACAACCAAGTGGATTATTGCCGGATAAAGCAGTGATTAAAGTGACGTGTTCATTCAAAGTACCTCTGAAAAACAAATCATCGAATATGTGAAAATACTTTTCCAGAATGATTTTCGTTGATACGAGGCGAAACTGATTTGGGGTATTGAGAATATCTGTCACCTTCCACTTCTCAACCGCCTCTTCCTGGAGAAGGCTTAATTTTGAATCTGGATTGACATGTTTCCAGACGGCGCCTACAAGACTTGCAGGTCGATGCTTAAACACCTTTAGGCGATTTAAAGTCAAAGGTCGACGAAAAAATAGTCTTCCCGAGAGATAGTCCAATCGAGGGTTTGCTTTCCGAACAATCAAAGAATGTAGGAAATAATCCGCATCTCTGTCTTGAGCAAATTGCTCTATTGCAGATCGACTTTGACGAAGTAGTTGGGCGTCACATCCTGTCACATATGTTGGTCTGCCGGTTCCATTTGATAATTTTGAAGGTATTTGACCCATCGTGCGAGTTTTCCGATTAAGTCTCGAGGTATGTCGATATTTGAAAAGTTATATGAGATTTTCTAATGCCATAGAATTGAGGAAATCGATTCTAACCAGTACGTATGTTGACAGATATAGTACATGCCACCATTGGAAATGACCGTCTTGAACATCAGCAACTGTATCAGCCGTAGGAATATATTCATACAAGGTGCCGCAATTGCCATCTCGGCTGTAGTTGACGAAAACCATAGGAGGTACAGCATCTCATAAATCTCAACACTACTTGAATTTGGAAATCCAACGAAAGACCAACAGCATGTGCTCTCATTAGGTACGAAGCTGTATACTGTACTACATGCTAGGACTGGCAGTAGGATAAAATCCAATTCAATAAACAAGTGATCAAAATCGAAAGAAGCCAATTGATGAGTAGATTCCGAAGCTCCCGGAAGTTATGTGCATTATAACCGTCAGCGGTACCAAAGAATAATTTCTAGTGACGATATAGCTAATTTTGAGAACTACTCGAATTCATGTTCCCAGTAACAGCAAACGCCTGTCTTTTCTACCAGTACAAAGGAATGTCGTTATGTCTTGGAGAGTAAGATCAACTTTTATATTGATATCTTCTCTGTTAACAGTCAGAATAGAAGACACCGTCAGGAGATATATAGAGGTCAGATGTCTTCCTGTGGAAACTTCGATATCCTATCACTGATCATCATTCTTGACACGGGTCTTGTGGGCTGAGCTCGATATATCCATATATGTGTTTGCTTAGCTTTTTGATCTTGGCATCATTCGTACTGGTCTTATTCCATATGACTACCAGAAACGTCACGAGGCCTGAGAGCAAGTAATGCGTGGAGCACATGCGTTAGAACCATGTACTTAATTTTTCGCAATGGTCAAAAAAAGATTGTGAACAGCATTCCCGAAAAGGCGAGAGCCCCAGATTTAAAACTTTTGTCATTGAATTTGTCTATAATCTCCAGGAGCCAGAATAACGCATACTTCTATAGTTTTATAAAGGATCTAATATCTTGACACCATAAGAACTTTTTGGGGGAATTAGCTTGAAGGGGCTGCGAGGTTTCCTCTAACACCTCCCTTCTCTCCAACTTCGCGTGCAGTGACGGTAACGGACAAATCCTTGCTAATGTTGATCATAACTTCGACCTTGCTACCCTTCTTGACACCTCTGACTGCGGCCTCTGCGAGAACATTTCCGACCTTCCAGATTTTCTCACGTTGTTCCTCTTCTTCCTCTTCGCTATCATCATCCTCAGAATCGTCAGAGTTTGCATCCTCAACCTTGGCCTCTGTGGATTTAGGTTTTGGCTCTGGCTTAGTGACCTTGATGTGAGATCCACCCTCGACAATCTTTACTAAAACATCACCACCTTCTTTAGGAGCAGCGATTTCGACAGTACGGCGAGCTGGGACGGCGGTTTCGGCAGCAACAATTGGTGTGAAAACACCCTTGTCAGTCTCTCCTGAGATGGAAAGAACTCCAATGGCATTTGTGAGGTGCTGAACGGTAGTGACGGCAGCGTGAGTAGATTGCTCGATATCTTGAGCATCAAATTCTTGAATGAGAGATGCTTGAAGAGCAGCTCCACGGGCTTGCAATTCGGATGGGTTGATTGCGGTAGGGCTGGTGGATGGAGCAAGAACTGTGGCATTTGGGTAGATATATTGAACGTTGGATGCGATTTTTGGAGTGTGCGATGTACCACCAGAAAGGATGACCTCGTCAATTTCCAAAGCATCCAATCCAGCCTTCTTTACAACACCCTCAATCAATCTGTTGAATCCTTCAAAGACCTTGCGTCCAATAGTCTCATATCTAAGTCTGTTAATGGTAGAAGAGAAATCAATGCCCTCAGCTAAACTCTCAACACTGAAGTTGGAGTTTTGTCCGATACTAAGTGCTTTCTTGGTAGCTTCAGCTTCTGCCTTGAGTTTTGCGAAACTGCGTTGGTTTTCACGGGGGTCGATAGAGTTCCACTTGATGAACTCTTTGGAAAAGTGATCCATGAGGACCTGGTCCAAGTGAACACCAGCGAATTCGTAATCGTGTGCAGTAGCCAAAATGGTATACATGCCACCTCTTGATGCGATAACTGCGACATCTGAGCGAGTTCCTCCGAGATCTGCAACAATAACATTCTTATCCGCAACCTTGGCCTCTGGCCTTGCATCGTATGCCAACAAAGCAGCGACAGGCTCATTAATGAGTTGTAAAACCTCAACACCTGCATCGTTTGCTGCCTTTGTCAAAGCTGCCTTTTGGTTGTCGGAGAAATTTGTTGGGATTGTGATGACAGCCGAGTTAATTTGTTTTCCGGTGTAGTCTGATGCGGATTGTGCGAGACGACGGATAACTCGAGTTGTTACCTCAGAGACAGAGACGGTTGATGGTTCACCCTCCTCTTTATCTTGAATTTTGAATGCGATTGTGCCTTCGTGGTCCAAAGGGTGTGCAGAAGCATGGCTGTGTGTAGGGTCTATCGACTTGAAGCTATGCGGGGTGCGGGGCAAAGTGTTAGTCGACTTTATCTTGGAATACTCATGGGGTCCAAAGGGGCATTTATGGTATAGACATACTCTTGTCCAAGGAAATCTCTGAAATAAGCAACAGTGTTTGTGCTGTTTCTAATAAGTTGTTGCTTGGCCTGTTGACCATAATACTCGTCTCCATGGATATACGACAAAATGGTAGGAATTTGACGATCTGTAGTCGAAGTCAATCAGTCTGCCTCCCCATCCTGCTCGGATCTATTTTTGAGTGCATTTCAGCTACTTACCTCCATCCTCATTGGCAATAACTTCAGCTTTATCTTCAACGGTTGTGTAGGCGATTGAGCTGTTGGAGTTTCCAAAAGAGATACCAATGGCATTTCTCTCACCAGCAGTGCCGTTTGATGCGGGGGCTTCAGCTGCCATTTTTAAATTTATGAAGGATTAGAGGAGAGGACAAAAAGTTGATGAATGGAG